ACCTCAGGGCAACTTGTGCCAGCCCTGATCTCGTGCAACTTTTTGTTGTGGATCCCATCCTGTTGCTCCCTGTGGATCCAATCCTCCTGCTCTCTGTGGATCCAGTCCTTCTTCCCTTTCTGGATCCTATCCTCCTGCTCTCTGTGGACTCGATCCTCCCGCTCTCTGTGGATCCAATCATTCTGCTCTTTGTGGATCCGATCCTCCCTCTCCCTGTGGATCCGATCCTCCCTCTCCCTGTGGATCTGATCCTCCCTCTCCCTGTGGATCCAATCATTCTGCTCTCCGTGGATCCAATCCTTCTGCCCTTTGTGGATCCGATCCTCCCTCTCCCTGTGGATCCAATCCTTCTGCCCTTTGTGGATCTGATCCTCCCTCTCCCTGTGGATCCAATCATTCTGCTCTCCGTGGATCCAATCCTTCTGCCCTTTCTGGATCCGATCCTCCTGCTCCAATTCTCCCTCTCCCTGTGGATCCAATCCTCTCTCTCCCTGTGGATCTGATCCTCCCTCTCCCTGTGGATCCAGTCCTTCTGCCCTTTCTGGATCCGATCCTCCTGCTCTCTGTGGATCCAATCATTCTGCTCTTTGTGGATCCAGTCTTTCTGCCCTTTCTGGATCCAATCCTCCCTCTCCCTGTGGATCCAGTCCTTCTGCCCTTTCTGGATCCAATCCTCCCTCTCCCTGTGGATCCAGTCCTTCTGCCCTTTCTGGATCCAATCCTCCTGCTCCCTATGGATCCAATAATTCTGCTCTTTGTGGATCCGATCCTCCCTCTCCCTGTGGATCCAGTCCTTCTGCTCTCCACGGATCTGCCCCCCGCGGATCCTGTCCCCCCTCTCCCGGTGGCTTTGTCCTACAACCCGGTAAATCCCGGTCACAGGAAGCGCAGCCTCACCATGGCAACGGCGGCATTGCGTCAGGGCTTTTCTTTCCAACTGCAAAGCTGGATGAGCAACTCCCTCGGGGACACTAGTAAGGGAGAAGGGAATATTCTTTTCCCTGGGGCGCTCTGGGATTGCCAGTTCCCTAACCCAGCCCTGGTTTGGTGTTTGCTCGGGGTTCCAGGGCTGCCGTGGGCCAGACGCGGTGGGGACAGCGAGGGCTCCCATGCCAGGGACACCGAGGGTCCTGTGTTGGGGACACTGAGGCCGTGTGCCTTCCCTGTGGCACCTCCCTGCTCCTGGTATGAGATCATCTTGCAGGGAAAAGCAGGAAGGAGCCAGAGGCTCGGTGTTGGATGGGGTGGAGGCCCAGGGATGGGCTCTGCTTCACTCCGGCCTCACATTCCCTCCTTTCCTGCAATCCCAGCAAAAACAAAGGCCGAGGAGGCGGCTCTTGCGCCCTGCAGGATGTGCTGGGGCGTGCAGAGCTCCCCCACCGCTGTGCCTGGGAGCAGCGAGGATTCTCCCAGGGGCTTTGCCGAGCCTCAGGAGCAGGAATGCCGTGCCAGAACCCGGGTGGGGCTGCCTGGGGGGCTTTGTTCCCTCCCAGCCCCGGGGAAGGCACAGCACCGGAGATGTGGCACCCACTGCCCCGTCCTCCTTTCCCCCCGAGCACTCCCGTCCCCTGCTTGGTGATTTGGGAATTTGGGAACCTCATCACAGCAGTGCCCGGGGCGGGGGCTGCCCTTGGCTCCCCAGAAGGTGCTGGGGCTGCCGAGCAGGTTTGGGCTCAGCTGCTGCACTGCCCTGGGCAATTCCCTGTGCAGGGACTGGGAAAGGTCCCTACAAACACCACAGCAAGGGGGGAACCCCCGGAGAAACCCGTGGTGCTGTTGAGGCTCACATTGATGTGGGAATGGCACGGGGTGAAGGCAGGAGGGCAGCACAGCTCCTCCTGTCGCTGCTGCTCCGTGGATTTCCATGTGGTGCTATCCCTGCTGTGCCGCTGGACAGGCGGGACTTCCAGGAAATCAGGTTTGCATTAACAGGATGTTTGGTGCTACGACCTCTGCCCTTGGAAGCTTTAAAAAATAGGTGATAAAAACATCAGTCATGTGGTGGGGGATTGCTGGAATCAGCTCCAGGTGATCCCCGAGGTCCCTGCAGCCTCTGTGAGTCACAATTTCCCATGGCTGCACCTGTGCACACAAACAGCTCCGCTCCAGAGCGGATATTTGCCCTCCCTAAGGAACTTTGGCACTTTTGCCAAACTGGGTCACTACGGGCACAGCCCTGCTCACAGCCAGATCCAGGTGACCAAAATTAGGGCTCAGCCAGGGCAAACACCCATGGGTGCTCAGGTCTGGAACTCCCACAGGAGTGAACTCTGCGTCTCCTGTATGGTGTTGCCTGTTTGGGACCCCTGGCCAGGTTCCTTCTGCTGCAGGAGGTTTGCTCTAAGGATCCTTTGCTGTTTCAGTGCTTAATTAACTTCCCTAACGACTGGTGCAACCTGCCAGGTGGGCTGCCTGCCTGGCTGCTCCCAGCACTGCCAGCCAGAGCCCAGCCTGTGGGACATGCAGCGATGTCCCTGAGCCCCTTGGGCTGGTGACATGGGGCTGCTGTGGCCCCTGTGTGCAGCTGATCATGGAATATCCACGAGGATTGTCAAATCCACAGCTGATGCCCTGAGTCAGGAGTGATCTGGAGCACTGAACCCTCCTGGCAGCAGCAGCACTGGGGCCAGAGTGTCCCTTTGGCCCAGCTCTCGCCTTGTGTCACTGGTGACTCTCACTGTCAGAGCAAAGGCATCCACACAGCCCAGGGAGACAGAAATCACACTTCTGGGACACAACCAGGCAGGGCTGTGCTCGCCATTCCCTGTCACAGGAGCTCCTCTGCTCCCAGCAGCCCTTCACCCTGCTGGGACTCAAATTCCCCCGAAGCAGCAAAGGTTCTGGGTGCTGTTTTCACAACACCCAACCTGCCTGGCTTTGTGTGGAGTCAATCCCAGTGAATCCTGGTGTTTGTCCCTCGAGGTTTGCAGCAGGGTTGGTGTTGGCTGTCCAGCATCTCAGGCTGGAAAATGGCTCTGTGCATCAAGGTCATTTATCCACCCTCATCACAGACCAGGAACGCTCACGTTAATGGGTCTCTAATTTAATCAAAATGCTGTGCTTGTGATTGCAGGGCTGGAATCTTTTCCTCTCTTGAAGGGCAAAAATCAATTTGCAGTAACAGCAGACACGTCTGCTCCCTCCTCCAGGCCTGGGAAAGTGAGTAAATTTTTTCATGGGAGGAAAATAATAATATTGGCCTGGTGTGTCATCAATATTGAGTTTTTTACATGCTTTTGAGCACTTTGGTGGCAGCATTCTGTCCCTGTGGCCCTGTGAGCTCAGAAAAACCACAGATGTGCTGCTCCTGGGTTTCATAATTACTGTATTACCTATGTACAAACTGCCCTTTTCCTGCAGATCCCAAAGGGATCACGACAAATCAGGGAGGAAAAGTCTGATTTCCACGCTCTGGGAGGCAGGGAATGGGTGATCACTGCTCGACAGAGCAATCACAGGCTTCTTTGCATCTCCTGTGGTTTGTTTTCCCTCAGCCTCAGTGCCTGGTTTGGAAATCAGTCACCAAATAGTGGTGATTCTGCACTCCAGTGATTTTCTTCTGTGCAGCCTGGCTCAGACTGGAAATACTGGAAGGATGGAAGGAAGGAAAGAGGGTGGCCAGCAGCTGCAAACTGGCTGTGAACGGCAACGTGAATTACAATGAATTTCTGGAGGCAGAGCAAAGGTGTCAGGCCCTGCCTGGGACAGGGGACATGCACACACAGAGTGACCCTGCTGTGTCCAGGGCACACAGGACACACATGGTGACAGCAGCACACACAGAGTGACCCTGCTGTGTCCAGGGCACACAGGACACACATGGTGACAGCAGCACACACAGAGTGACCCTGCTGTGTCCAGGGCACACAGGACACACATGGTGACAGCAGCACACACAGAGTGACCCTGCTGTGTCCAGGGCACACAGGACACACATGGTGACAGCAGCACACACAGAGTGACCCTGCTGTGTCCAGGGCACACAGGACACACGCAGTGACAGCAGCACACACAGAGTGACCCTGCTGTGTCCAGGGCACACAGGACACACGCAGTGACAGCAGCACACACAGAGAGACATGGCTGTGTCCAGGGCACACAGGACACACATGGTGACAGCAGCACACACAGAGTGACCCTGCTGTGTCCAGGCTGTCCTTGGACAGGACACACGCGGTGACAGCACAGCCCCGTCCTTGCCACGCTTCCTTCCCGTTTCCTGCACGCCGCTATTCGCTCCCCTGCATCTCCTCCTCTCCAATCTGTTTATTCACGCGCATCTCTTCCTCTCCAATGCTTCCAAACACTTTTCTACGCGAGATTGTAATTATTGCACGAAACACTGTCCATTTGTATTTTGAGGCCTTTCAAGGCGGTGTACCCTCTCAATGAGACACGTCTTTGGCTTTGCCAGTTTTCTCTTTCAACACAAACTTTTTACTGCTGAAGGCATTCTCAACTTTGTCAAGACTTTAAAAGATTTCCATCAAAGGTTGAGCAAAGACCTTTCTTTTTGAACAAAACTTCGTTGCTTTGACTACTTCTCCCAAGTGTGTGTACGACAACACCGCAAGGAGGAAACTGAAGGGCTCATTCCCCGCGGGACAGCGAGGAGGGCTGCCGCCGCGGGGGCCAGTTCGCGGGGCCAGGACGGGCTTCCCGAGCGGGGCGGTGACCGGATGGGCCGCGGCGGGAGGAGCCGCCGGGGCCCGGCCGGGGGCAGCGCTCGGGCCCAAGATGGCGGCGGCCCCTGAGGGGGCCCTTTGTCTGCGGCCGCCGCCGCAGTGCGAGAAGGGCGCGAAACTGGGCCAGCGTGGGCGTGGCCCCTTCGCCAGCGGGGCGGGGCGGCCGCGCCCCCCGCCCAATCAGCGGCCTCCACTTCCTTCCCTCTCACAGGGGCACTCCCGCCCGCCTCCGCGCGCGCAGCCAATGGGCGCTCGTCCGTCGCGCCCCGCCCCCGCGTGGGTGGAGGGGGCGGGGCCGCGCCGTGGTTTTGTTTGCGCGCCCCTGCTTTCGCCCCCGCCGTGGTTCATTAATATTAATGAGGTCCCGCCCAATCAGGTGGTGCAGCGGCGGCAGCGCTTTGGTGACGTGTCGCCCCTCCTTGCGGCGGGGTTCATCTGCATATTCATAAGATAGGCGGGATGAGGCGCGGGCGTTTATAAGGCGCCGCCCCGCCAGGCTCGCCGTACATTTCGCTGAAGCTTTGAAGTGTTGTGTGGACCTCGCGCCGCCCGGCTATCGGTGAGCGCAGTCGCGCGGGGCGGTCGCGGCCGCACCGGGCCGGGTGGTCCGCGGTGAGCGGAGCCGTGTGCCAGGGGCAGAGGGCCGGGTCCTTCGGGAGGCCGCGCCGCGTCTCCGGACCCTCCGCTCGGTGCCCTCTGCGGGCACGGGGGGCGCGGCGGAGCGGGCCGGCCTGGGCCGTGCGGGGGAAAGCGGCCGCGGCGGGGGGAAAGGCGTGCGCGGAAACAAAATGGCGACGGGCCTCGGCCGTGCAAAATGGCGGGCGGGAAGGAGGGGGCGGCGGGCCGCGCTGTGCGGGGAAGGCCGGTAGGGGGCGCGGCGGGGCGCGCATGCGCGCTGGGCACGGAGGGGCCCGGAGCGGGGGTCCCAGCGGCGTTGGCGGGACCCGGCCCGGCCCCGGGTTCTGCCGGGCCCGGCCCCGGTGCTGCTCCCCTGCGCTTGGCCCTGAGCCTCGTGGAGCCCGGTTTGGCCCTCGCTCCCGCCCACCCTCAGGGAGACCCCTTGTAAGGCTGGGAGGCCGCGTAAAGAGTGGGCTCCGGGCCGCATGAGGGGAGTGTGAGCTCACATCGGTGCTGGTGTTAGGATTTAATGTTTCGCAGCTCGACGGGGTTATGTGGGTTTTTTTGAGTCGCTGACTCGGTTCTGTTGGTTTGGCAGGTCAGAATGGCATCAGATGAGGGAAAGCTCTTTGTCGGCGGGCTCAGTTTCGACACCAATGAGCAGTCATTGGAGCAAGTCTTCTCTAAATACGGACAGATTTCTGAAGGTGAGACTGCAGAGCCGCGATGGGATAGTTTCCCTAAGTTTCCCTAAGTCTGTTAAACTTCCCCGGCACTGATGGGTTTTTATTTCCTATCTCTCCTTTTCACAGTCGTGGTGGTGAAAGACAGAGAGACTCAGAGATCCAGAGGTTTTGGCTTTGTTACTTTTGAAAATATCGATGATGCAAAAGATGCAATGATGGCCATGAATGGAAAGGTGAGGAGGCCTTGGAGTTGATTCTTTATTTTCTGTAGTGGAGGAAGAGAATCAGAGGTGTGCTGCTGTTCAGGTTGTGTGGAAAAACAGATTAGTTCCCCTGTCTTACATGAGGTTACAGGAATGTAAAAAATCGGACTATAAGAATTAATATGTAAAAGGATGTGCATATATGTATATAGTGGGAATGAAACTGTAAAGTTCCATTATGGAATCTGGATGACTGAGCTATAACTTTATAGCCATTCCTGTAAATACAATTAATATATCACGTTTTTTGCCTACTTTATTTAATTGTGGCATGAAGTAGACATTTATTTCAAGAGGAGCAGCGAGTCCTGCCACTCTTTAGCCAACTGTGAAGGCGTGCAACTCGTTCTACATGTGCTTTCTATTGAACTATTTCAATTTGGCTAACTGTGGTTGTGTTTCAGTCTGTAGATGGGCGTCAGATCCGAGTTGACCAGGCTGGCAAGTCCTCAGAGAACAGATCCCGTGGCTACAGAGGGGGGTCCGCGGGGGGCCGGGGCTTCTTCCGCGGGGGCCGAGGCCGGGGCCGTGGCTTCTCCAGAGGTGAGTGCCTGGGGGTTAGTTACAATTCTGATGGGGGGGTGTGTCATTTGTCAGAATGGTTAAATAAACCTCGTTTTCATGTGTTTCCAAGGAGGTGGAGACAGAGGCTATGGCGGCAGCAGATTCGATTCCAGAAGTGGAGGCTATAACGGCTCCAGAGACTACTATAATAGCAGGTAAGGGCTCTGCGGACACCAGGGGTCGTGGGGAAGCTCTGGTGGGGCTCAGACCAGCAGAGGAGGAGTTGAGCAGCTGTAAAGCAGGTGCTGTTTGTCCCGCAGGAGTCAAGGTGGCTATGGAGACAGGAACTCAGGAGGCTCCTACAGAGACAGCTACGACAGTTATGGTAAGTCCTGCTTCGAGCGGGAGCGCTGAGTCCGTGTGCTGTAGGAGCTCTGAACCTGCTGAGCCTGAGCCTGCAGCTGGGGCAGGCTCAGGCTGTGGACGTGGTGGTGCCGGGAGATTCTAATTTAATGCATGTGCAGGAGTTGCTCGGATCTCAGGCAAAGCAAGTGTTTAAAAAAAAAAAAAAGGTGTTCCTGGAGCCCAAACTCGGCTGCCCTAACGCACTGACCCGCGGGTGGGGGATCTCAGTAGCCAAGTAGCCGTAGCCTTGGAATAATGCAAAGGGAGTAAAATGCTGGAACTTGTCTTTGCTTCAGTGCCTTTACAATTGTGCCTGCTTCTTGTCCTCAGCTACACACAACGAGTAAAAATCCTTCCTGACTCAAGATCGTCCTTCCAATGGCTGTATTTATAAAGATTTTTGGAGCTTCGCTGAAATGGTTATTGTGTAGTACATCTACTTCTATTTTCACTTTTGTAGTATTATCAGTTCTGATCTTGTCATACACAGCCTGGCAGCTTCTGAGACAAGACTGTCTGATTAGACTGTCTTGGAGAAAGCTCTGCTTTCAAGTGGTTTTAATCTTTTTGAAAGCACTTCAGATTTTATTTTATCCTCCATGAATGAGCCAAGGTGTTCGTTTTTGGTTGTTTTTTTTTTTAAGTTGGGGCCCCAATTCAGTTTCTTTTGAGCTAGCAAGGACCTTGTACCAATGTTCACTAGAAGCTGAACAAGCTGTGGACTTTTTTTCTTCTTTTATTTTTTTTTTCAAGTGCATTACCTTCGTCTTTTGTAACATTCCTTTAGTGTAGCAAGGTAGGAATGCAGCTTGGGTTCCGTTGGAAGGCAAACCACCTTGATATATCTAAAGAGAAACGTGCTTGTATGTTCAACCCGCATAACGGTATTTTTACTGTTGTAATGATGTAAATGACCCAGAACTAGACTTGCAAACTTACCATAAAGAGGTTCTTGAAAATGTTTATTTATATTGTCCTTTTTTACTGGAAGAAATATGCATATTCCATTGCTGTTGTATTTGAAGTGGTAAAGGATTCCTGTATACAGTTTTCTTTGGCTTTACGAAGCCTATTAAAAGACCGTCTGAAATGAACTCTGCTCCTGACATTTACATTTCATTGCACAACACAACCCTTGGAGACGAAGAACAGTCTTGGGAGCGAGAGGAGGAGATTAGGGACAGTGGCAGAGCTGGCCGGACGATTGCCCGGGCGCTGGAATTTAAATCCTAAAATCGGTCTTGACATCTGAATTGGCCAAGAAATTTCACATAAAGTAGTCAAAACTTGTCTGTAGAGGCTGGAAGTACAAACCTGAGGGCGTGCTAGGAGCGAAGTGCAGTTGGAGTGTTAGGAAGGCTAAAGGATGTTTGCTCCAAAGCTGCTGTAGGCTACACTGGGAAGCTGTAGAGAAGAGCCAAGTGCTGTAGTCCCTGGGCTGTTCCCTGCGTGCCGAGCGCGTGTGCGATGTAGGGGAATGCCGGGCTTAGCTTAGCTGTGTCATTGCTTACAAGTTCTAAGAATTCTTTGCTAGCAAATGGAAACTGCAGTGTCCTTGGAGAAAAGAAGTGTTGTGCCTCCAACAGAAACCTCTGAGACGAGAGCTGCTCTCTTGGCTAGTTCATATGTGGAAATAGTCCTGTAATTCGAGGTAACTCCTTTTGCTCATGTCCGCATCCTTCCTCTTGTTGAGAGCTCATTTGAAAGTCTAATGTACCTGTGAAATATTCCTTTTGACAATTTTGGTCAGCTGCTGGAAAAACGTTAACCCATGCCGTATGCAACCTTTGGCTTGTGGCACACCTTGAGTTCCACAGATCAGAGTTGGGCATGCAGCCGTGTCTTGCTGTAGGTACGGAAGCAAGATTGGAACGAACTCCCTGACTCGATATGTGTTCATCTATTGAGACTCTTCCTAGACTTCATTAAGTTGCTCACTTTAATTGTAGCTTTCTTTGCCATCCTACTTGTTGCCATTAACTTTTTCCCATGGCCCACACTTCCTAAGCAGCCATGTCCAAGTGTTAACTCTCTGCTTAGGGGATCCAATCCATGGCTGGCTGAGCACGGGCAGCAGCCGGCCCAGAACAGTTTTCCCAGACTGTGCTTTGTGGTGTGATGGGTTCAGCGATGGCTTGTGAGACCCTCGTGCGCTGTGAGCTGTGTGGGGAGGTTGGGGGCAAGAGCAGCCTCTGCCCTGGGCTCTTGTTAATGCCTCTCTGCTTTAGCAGGCTGAAGGGACCCGGCACACGCCTCGGAGGCCCAGCGGATCCTGAGCGACCAGAGCTGCGTTCCAGGGGTGCTGCAGCAAGTTTGCCAGCCAGGTAACATCCCTTTCCTGAGGTTTTTTCTTTCTCTTTGGCTGTGACCCTGTTCCATTCCTGTATCTTTATCCACATTACAATTCTCATCTCCATTTACTTTCAGCACTGAGACACGGCAGAGAAGACAGAAGGACAGACACTGGAGTGTGGAGATGAAGAACTCAGAGCAGTGGTGTTGCTCATTTTTACATGAACCAAACCAGTCAAGACAGAATAAAACACTGAAATGTGGAAAAAACAAATCTCTGTGGTACTTTTTTGTGGGAAACAGAATGTTTTTGGCTAAAGTATTTGGTTTACAGCCCAGTAGAGAGCACAGAGCAAACCACCGCTGTGGTGCTTGGAGGTGGACACACTCTGCTCCGAGCAGATTGGTGTGTGATCCTCATGGAAAATGAGGTCTTGTTGCGGGTTAAATCCCAAAAATGTGGCAACTCAGTGATGAGGAGGATTAATATAATAATGTTGGGAGAGGCTGACACTGAATGTGTTTCTGGCAGGAGAGGGCAGGGTGAGAACAGTGAGAGTTTTTGATGATCTCAGCTGCTCCTGCCCTTTTTTTTTTTGTGTTAGAGGAGAGTTGTTGATTGCTTCTTCCTGTCCTTTTCTCCCCATCTTTTTCAAACTGATAAACTCAGAATTTGGTGATGGGCTCATTCAGGAGCCCTGAGGACTTGCTGCCCAAGTGCTATCAGTCCCCCATTTTCCACTGATACAGGAGTCTCCAGACATTCCTGCCTGCAGGAGGGGATTACTGAGCTCACTTCACAAAACCTGCTTTTCCTCCTTTAACCTTTTTCAAATTATCTATGTGAAGAGCATTTAAAAAAAGCAATCAGCCATGACACACTTCTGGGGATTGTATTGAGCAATTCACCAGTGAGGATTTTTGCATGTTAATGCAGGAGGATATTAAATATAATGAAAGCTGAGGAGTGTGTGAAGTCTTTGCTGATAAAAATGCAGTCAGGTGAGGTTGAAATGAATTCAGGCTGAAAATACTTACAAATAATGCTTTGTAAGACCTTCCTAAATAGGATGCTTAGACACAGGCAGAAATAATGAACAGGTGCAAAAATAGCCTGGTTGAAGGTGCTGTTATTTTTGGCATTGCTAATTATGGCATTGAGTTAATGATGTCTTGCTGGCATGGGTGAGGGAATCGCTGGAGCCAGGGGCTGGATGTGGAACCCAGCGGCGTCACGGGGAAGGTGTCTGGGTGTCGTGGGTCTGACGTGAGCTCGGGTGACCCAGTTTTAGCCAAAATGCCTTTTTTTTTAAAGTAAGCCCTGTGTGTCCAGGCAGCTTGAGCCATTCACTGAGGAAAAATGGGGAAGTGGAGCAGGGCTGAAGGGTGGTGGTTGAACCCTGAGCAGCCGGAAGCATTTCCAGAGGGAAAAGATGGGGGACAGAAATTCTTGAAATGCTCAAAATACTCCTGTTTCCAGCTGTGTTCACCATGGGGCGGGAATGGCCACCCTGAAGGGAGAAGGAGAACCCTGAGGGGGAAATGGTGGCTCTGGGGGGGAAAGTCCTGCTATGAGGGAAAAGTGGAGCCACTGAGGGAGAAATTATGACCCTGGGGGCAATGGTGGCCTTGAGGGAGGAGAGACAACCCTGAGGGGGAAATGGCGGCTCTGGGGGGGAAAGTCCTGCTATGAGGGAAAAGTGGAGCCACTGAGGGAGAAATGATGACCCTGGGGGAAATGGTGGCCTTGAGGCAGGAGGGACAGCCCTGAGGGGGAAATGGCTGCTCTGGGGGGAAATGTCCTGTTATGAAGGAAAAGTGGAGCCACTGAGGGTGAAATGATGACCCTCGGGAAATGGTGGCCTTGAGGGAAAAGGGACAACCCTGAGGGGGAAATGGCGGCTCTGGGGGGGAAAGTCCTGCTATGAGGGAAAAGTGGAGCCACTGAGGGAGAAATTATGACCCTGGGGGCAATGGTGGCCTTGAGGGAGGAGAGACAACCCTGAGGGGGAAATGGCGGCTCTGAGGGAGGAATGAGAGTCCTGAAGGGGCAATGGCAGCCCTGAGAGAGGAAGGATGACCCTGAGCGGAAAATGGCGTCTGTGACGGACGGGGTGTTGCAGCGAGGGAGAAATGGCGGCCCCGCCGAGGTGCGCGCAGCCCGTGAGGGCACAACAACAACCCTGAGGGCAAAATGCCGGAGCCCCTCGGCGGCTCCGCGAGCGGCTCACGGCCGGAACGGCGCAGCCCCGGAACCCGCGAGCGGATCCGCGGGGCCCGGGCGGGGCCTGCGCCGAGCGCACCGTCCCGGCGCCTTCCTGCGGCCGCCGCTCCCGCTCCGCCGCCCCGGCCCGGCCATGCCGCGCCTCCTCCTCCTCCTCTTCCTCCTCGTCCCGCACCTCGGCCGCGCCGCCGCCCCCAGCCCGGGGAACAGCACGGAGCCGCCGCGGGCGGCCACGGGGAACGACACGCACACGGAGCCGGAGCACGAGTCCGGGCCGAGGCTGTCGGTGGGGTCGGGGCTGCCGGTGCTGAGGCGCGCGGTTTATGTGCTGAGCGCTCTGTCGGCGCTGGCCGCCTTCTACTTCATGCTGAGGGCGTTCCGGTGAGTGCACGGCGACCGCGGCTGTGTCTGTGTTCTGCTGGCCCCGCTCCTGGTCTTGTCCCCGTCCCGGTGTGCCCTGGCCCGCGGCTGTGTCCCTGCTGGTTCGTGTTCCCGTTGTCCCGGGCTGTGTCCCAGCTTTGTCACGGTTCCGGGGTTCTCGGAGATCTACCCCGCTAGTCCTGGCTCCCCCTGGTCGGGGATGTCACCCTGATTGTCCTGGTCCTGGACCCAGTCCCCCTTGCTGGTGGCAGTGTCCTTGCTTGTCCCGGTTGTCCCGGTCCTGTCCCCCATGGCTGTGCCCCTGCCCGTCCCGGTCTTGCTCTGGGTTCCCCCGAAGCCGGTCACGGTGTCCCCTGTCCCTTGCCTGCCCCAATTCCGCTCCTAATCCCTGGGTTTGTGCCCATTTTCCCTCAATCCCCTTCCCTCCCTCCCTCCTTCCTTCCCAGCCGGGGCTCTGCTTCCCCGCGCATCCCTTTGGCAGCGAGTCCAAAACGTCGCTGTAAATCCCTAACACTGTTAATTACCCGAGGTAATTAGCGCTAAAGCATCTCCCGCTGAACCCCCCGCGGGGCGGGGAGGGCGGCTCACTCACTGTGCTCTCCCTGTCCCTCAGCCCCAGCTCCGAGGGCCCCAGAAACGAGCCCAAAACTCATTTCAGGTTGAAGAAGCCCCAGAGGAAGAAGTACGGGCTGCTGTCGAGCCAGGACGAGAACATCGAGCTGGGTTCCCTCGACAGCGACGAGGACACCGTGTTTGAAAGCCGCAACCTGAGGCGGTGAGGGAGCATTTGGTGTGTTTTTTGTGTTGCTCTTTTCCTCACTAGGGGCTGAGGCTCCTTTCCCAAAGCTGTGGGAGCTCTGGCACAGCTCCTGCAACCAGATCTGCATAAATTAAAACGCCTGTGTGTGGTCTGTGTGTTGGCACACGGATTTATCTCACTTTTCCTCATTTTCTGGCCCAGAAAGTCTCGCTGACAGGGTTATTTGGACACTGCTGTGGGGTCACAGAGCTGTTGGGAGAGGCAGCCCCTGTGCCCAGTCTGGGCCTCCCTCCCTGTGTTAGACAGGGAAACAAAAATTTCTGTGGTTTTTCCCTTCAGCTTAGGAATTGCTTCCAACTCATATCACAGTTCAAACTCCCAGTCCCATCAGGATGTGCATTCCTGTTATTCCTGCTTTGTTTTGGTTTTCTTTTTCCATTTTGGGAGTTGCTTCCAGGTCTCATCACACTTCAAACTCCCAGTCTCACAGGGATATCCATTCCTGCTTTCCCAGCATTGTGTTCACATCCCACAAGTTTGATTTCTGGGGAGGTTCTTTTAAGTGAGGAGGAATGTCACCTGAAGGAATGTCACCTCAGCTCCCCCTGATTTTGGGTGTCTCCTTTTTTTTTTCCAGGTGACTCGGGACCAGCGGCGCTGGCTGCCTGGAATGATGGAGGGTCCAGTCCCAGTGGAATCTCTAGTACTCAAGTTTTAGATCTGCTTACAGTGACTTAACTAACAGTTTGAGCCCTTCCATAGCTGGGGCAGGGGAGAGGGGACCAAACCTGTTTTCTTCACGTGCATTCTTGGGGACATTTCTGGGGAAAGATGGGAGCTGTTCACTGCACAGGGAAAGGCTGAGGTAAAGGAGATGCTCTTGGACGATTTTCAGCACCTGAAATCGGAGCTCGAGAGCTGCCCCTGTGCCTCATGTCCCTCTCTCCTTGCCCTGGAAGCATCAGATTCCTTCTCCAGGCTGATCCTCTTTCCTTCATGCAATATCAGGTTACTTCTTTGGGAAGTGTCTCTGTAATCAGCTTCTGGGAGGAGCAGTGAGAGCTGTGGCTCTGTTACACAAACGGGGGTGGGAAGGTGATAGTTCAGGCACAGCAGCTTTGGGAAGGAGTTAAACGAGTTATATTTTCCAGGATTGGCAATTACTGGGATAATCCAGGTCGTTCACGGGTTTACAGACGTGTTAAGGAATGAAAGGGGCCACAACCCAAAGGAATCTTTCTCCAAACGAGCTAGAAAAGGTCTGGGAATGCCTGGACTCTGCCCAGCCCCAGCTGTGACTTCACCAGGGACACTGTGACATCTGCCAAGCTCTGGATTTTGTGATGCCCGAGGAAGAGCCAGAAGTGAGCCAGGGAGTGTCTTGGAGCAGCTGATGACTGGAAAAGGGGGACCCCAACCCCTCTTGACTGTGATTCAGGGCAGCCCTGGATGAATTCTCTCCTCAGGAACCCTGGAGTTCCATTCCCTTGGCTGGTACTCAGCCTGCATCTGTCCTGCAGCCCGTTGTTAGTGGATTTTTGGGATCTGATTGTGTAGGACCAAAGGTGAATGTGTCAGACGGTGGTTGTTGGGTGGATCTGCTGCTAAATCGGTGAAAACTGCTCGCCAAGTGCTTCTGTCTGTGGCCTTTCCTTGGAAACTGGCAGCACATCCTTAAATCCCACTTGCCCCCAAGCTGGTAGTGCCTTTGTTTGGAGAACCCGAGGGATTTGCCCTGCGGGCAGGGAGGGTCCCCGTAGCACCTTTAGGGTGAAAAATTAGGATATCTACCTTTAGGGTGAACATTTAGAATGTCTTTGGAATGTCTTTGGCTCCTTTGGCTTGCAAATCCCCTGTGGATCAGGGGCATGACGACTCTTGGAGAAGGGACAGAGATGTGCTGGTCAGG